ACACCCAACAGCAGCGGCGAAGATCCGGTAAATACGCGCCTCGCCTTGCACAGAACAAGCAAAGAAGTCGTTGCCTTCGAAAGTTAGCTTACCGACGCTGCCGTTATCACTCTGGGCAGTGAATTGGAAGGGTGAGGGCTATTGCTGCAAATTGGTTAGAGCCGCACTTCTCCATGGCTGGAGCAGCAACGGCGGGGCCAGCGATGGCAGAGATGATGGCGGTTTTGGTGAACATTTTGATGAGTGGGGTTGAAAGCGAAGTTGGTGTTTGAAAAAGGGTGTCTATGTGATTTGAAATGTTGTAAAGACGAAGGTGCTTGTTGTTGTAACGATGAAAAGTTGAGAGGTATCAAAGGTATTTATCCAGAGAGAGCATCAGTCGTTGGAACTTTTTGGGGTACAAACGAAAGAACTATGGTGCTTGTGGCAATAGATGAACTCTCTCGTATTGTCCCTGTCGATGAACTCTGTTCAACAAACACCGTCATAAGTTAGATGCCAGGAAGTCTTAGTAGTGGAGAGTAGCACCGTAGCTCATTACTTCGGTTCCACAACACTTGACCCATACTTTCCTGAGAACTCCCCGAAGCGAAGGAGATACCCAGATGCTGTTCTCACAGCATGGTCCCACACTGAGAATAACTCGTCCATACAGCAAACGGTAATGTCTGGATGCCCCTGTCGGTTGAGGATATTCATCAATGCTTGATATACACTTGATACCTGTCCTGGGACTGTCTAAACACCGTCAGAAGAAAATAATGAAAGTTCGGAAGAGCTCAACGTCTACCTGAGGATATATGCCTGCGCTACAATACTGTACCGTAAGAAACTTATTCTCGCAGCCCGCTCAGCCTTGCATGTTGCCATTTTTCAGCCAGTGATGGTAGCCAAGCTCTAGTTCTTGAGCTATACCTCAATGAAGGTATGAAGGCGAGCTTTTTGCGAGACTTGACAGTGCGTTGCCACCTTTCATTGGGCGCCGATCGCTCGTATTGCCGAAGTGCCGACTTTGCTCGCACCCATTCCTCATAACAGAAATCCGGGCAGCCGAACCCTAAATGCCAAAAGTAAGGCTCCATCTAAACCAAAGGCACGTCTTGTGTTGCTATTTACGTACTCGCGTACCAATGACGGAAAGCTCAAACGGCCTTAACCTCACCGTTAGGTTCTGGATGGGGAATGGTATACGAATGTTCTTGGACGATTTGCTTGCAGATCTATCGTAGCATCTGACATCGTGACTGCCGTAGTACTGCACTACGGTACTGTCCGAAGGCAAAGAAGATGTAAGGTGATGAACGTCATGGTGCTTGGCAAAAAGAAAATATTCAGTAGTCATTCACAATTCTCAACAATGATGAAATCGCGAGTGAGGAACGTCCCCAATTTCGCGGCGAGAAAATGTCAGCGAAAGACAACAACAATCACTCGAATCTGGACATCAATCTCGCATAACTGCTTCTGTTTTTCTATTGAAGTTGTCCTACAGCATATTACTCTCCACGAATTTTTATCCAGCACTTGGGAAAGAATTGTGGAAGCCAAAATATGGACTTGTCTATGCCTTCCGCAATGATTGAAATCAGTATGATCCGCCACGGCGGTTTTTACGAGGTATAGCAATTGTATGCCAAATGGTCAAGGAGGCGCAAAGCTCACAGCCAAATGGTCAAGCCCCATTATTATCCTTAAACGCCAAACGAAATGCTGACCACCGAGACCTAGAAAACGCCGTATGCCTACTCCCAGAAAAGAGCACTGATAGATTCCCCATGATGGACACGACGAATCGCCTCTGCGAAGACCGTTCCAACCTCGAGAACTTCCAGCTTAGGGCACAATCTTTTGTGATCGTCTTGTGGAACACTGTTGGTAACCACGACTTTGTCCAGGGCTGAAGCATTGATTCGGGCAATAGCGTCTCCACTGAATACACCGTGCGTGAGCAAGGCGTAAACTTTCGTGGCACCTTCCTTCTTCAGGAGTTTGGCAGCTCTTGTGATTGTGTTGGAGGTATCGGCCAAATCATCTACAAGAATGGTGACCTTGTTTGCGACCTCTCCTACGAGCATCATGGTGGCATTTTGTCGGTCCGTGATACGAGTAGGTCGGCGTTCCTAGATGATATGAGTTTGCGCACAGACAGGACTGTGGAAAGTATTACCTTGTGAATCAACGCGAAGTCCATGTTGAGATCATCCGCAATAGCAGTTGCCCTCTTCGCACCGCCAGCATCTGGACTGACGATGACCGCGTCCCTAAAGTCTGGAATCTTGGTTTGGATGTATCTCTTTAACAATGCCTTGCCGTAAAGATTGTCCACTGGGATGTCAAAAAAGCCCTGATATTGAGGGTCATGCAAGTCCATGGTGATGATATGATCCGCGCCAGCACAGGTCAAAAGATCTGCCACAAGCGTTCCAGCTTGAGCGACCCATTGCTTATATCCTGGCTTTGCTTGGAACATACCCTTCACCTCCTTCAACATTGTTGGATTCTCGTAGTCATGAGTCGTAAATGGTGGAGCTGTTGAAGAGCTGGAGGAGCTTCCGCGACCTCGGCCGTTGACTGATGTTGTAGAGTCTAAGGTATCTGATCGTCGAGGTGGTGTGATACCATTTGTGTATGAAGTTCCGTTCTGCTGGTCTAGGCTGGTCTTGGCCAACGTCTTTTGTAGTCTTTCCATGCCACCGCCATTACCATTTGTGAGACCTTGCGTTTGTGGTTGTCCTGGACCTGGAGTCGGAGGTCGACTTTCGAAGGTGAAGTCTCCTCTATTTACATCTGTAGGGGCTTTTGACAAGGGTGCTCCAACCTTGTTATATGGCAAGTCGGGCTGTCGAGAGTAGGGGAACAAAGGAAGAACAGCTGTGACTCGTTTTGCAGATCCAGTCTTGCAAGCTGATATCATGATGCAAAGATCGACAAAATTGTCATTGACCTTACCACCTCCAGATTGTACAATGTAGACATCCTTTCCTCGCACAGAGTCTTTGATTTCAAGACGACTTTCTCCGACGGAAAACTTTGATAGAATTCTATTGCAAGGTGGGACGCCAAGGATATTGGAGATTGTGTCGACAAGTTGGGGATGGGAGTTGCCTCCAAGGACGACTATGCCGCGAACCATATTGAATTAAGAATTAGGTGTGTGGAGATGGTGTTTTGAGACTGGAGGTGGGAAGGATATCGGTGGAATGCGGGATTTCGAAGGTGGGCTGCGCAGCCGCGGCAAAGTCGTAAGGGAGATGTCGTGATTCAGGATAAATTGGAGGAGGAAGAAGAATAAAAGAAGATGCCTGGTCAGGACAAGAGGAGAGCGACGCGAAATTCTTGGAGTGTGCAACCCATTTGAGATGGCGGTTGTGTTCTGGACTACTCATGCAAAAAAAAAAAAAGGTGTCGTAAGAGCACAAAGCTTTTGAAAGAAAGGCTTTCTGACGAGCTTGACTTGATGCGGTTAGCGAATGTGGGGCAGTAGCCTCGCAGATGAGGCTGAGAATAAACGTTCAACTGTTTTTCCTCCAGAACACAAAGCACAACGCATTGCTTTTGGCAGCGAATTCGAAGCGAAAGTGGCACAACCTTATTTCTACTTCCTGTGGTATTTCTGAAGGCCTGGAGGCGAACACACCTCGATTAAGCCACTTTCTTTAACCCAACCGTGGGAAGGTACTTGTGGGGCTAGGACAATCATCAATAATAATTGCTGTGCTAATCCATACAGGTGCAATTATGAAGATCCTGGAGTCCCAGTCAGCCACATTAACGAATTTTGAAGTCTACCAACATTTGACTGAACAACGAACGAAGTATGCCAATGTCAAAGGAAGGCGACCGGGAAATCTTGAGACCGTGGTCAAGGAGGTAAGCCTAAAGCTAGCGGCTATATTTGTCTTTGTAGTAATTATGGATACCTATAGCTACTGGACTACTTCAACGAAGCACCTTCTCCACTGGCATCCAAGCCATTTCCTTACCACGATGGGATATTCAAGGAACTCCTCGAGAAGTTGCGACGTTGGGATTTCACCAAAGCCGAGATCCTCATGATCATGAATCTAAGACCAACGAAGCCAGAAAACTTGAACACGATCGTTGAGGAGATGGAGGAGAGATTTCCAGGAGATGAACTTCAATGGGAGATTGTGGGTGTCATTGCGGAAGTATTGGGAAAGCCGGATGGAGAAGCTGAGAGGCAAGCTATGACTGATGAGGCCAAGGAGGCTAGGACCAAGCAACAAGAAGGCATGGATGTGGATGGTTAGGATGACTATCCTCAACTCTGGATGATTCAAGATTGGCGTTTGGACTTAGCATTTCCTGGCGTTCGCAATACCATTGACGATGCATGACTACCGCTTTCTTAGTGCGTATGCTTTGCGGTTTCTTCGCTTGTCTCTTGCAATTTGAATTTGATTGATATCGCAAAGCTGCAAAGCTGCACACCGAAACCACCAACGCTCATGAAAGAAGAACGTAAAAATACACTTTATAAGAATCAGAATGCTTGCAGTCATTGTACACCCATCTATCTTACAACTGCCATTAGTGTTTATGCTTCTTTCTTATGCCTTGCTATATTGTTATAATGAGTCTCTCATGCTCTAGATCTCATTGTCCCAGCCATGCTTGTACATTATCAATCCTTTTGCCGTTGAACGAGGGAACTGGTGGTTAAGATGCACAACCCAGCGCAGCCTAGAGTGAGAATGTCCTGGCAAGTATGGGTGATTAAAACATCTGGTTTCGGACTTCTCTTTGGTCTTGATTATACTAAAGATTTTCTTCTTATTGTTAGTGTAAGGTGTCATTCGCTTCTCAATCATACCTATGGTATTCGCTGCTGCCGACGCTAGTCGAAGCGAAGATATACTACCATGGGTACAGTACCTACCAAAAACCCAGAAGAAAGAATTGCAAAAACTCAATCTCCCCATCAGCATCTCTAGTAGCAATACTCACAAGCCTAAAACTATTAAAAAAAAATAGAAATTTGACTTCGGAAGGCATCGAACCTCCGTTTCCATCTACGCACCCAAGAAACTCCAAACGCCGAAGCAAATTGTAGCAAACTCCCGAGATAACAATGCTGTAAAGCAAGTTGCGATGGTGTTCTAGCCCACTGAACTACAAAGTCTGTATTGTTTTGAATTGATGGCAAAAATATGCGTATTTAATTATACACGGATGTGTTTTGGTAGAGGGGTCGGAGGTCGAAGCGAGGTGCGGCCGAGAGGCGAATGGGGGTGGGAAAGGAGGGAATTCAGCTGTTTATCGTTACTATGAGATGGAGATGGGTGAAAGCATGGATTGTGAATGTTCTTGGTTGTCTGGTACATTGAAATACTCAACAATTACAAGACAGAAGACGTGGCGGGTTTCAGACCGGCCGTCAGATATGTGTCTTGAGTTGAGGACTTTGAATGTCCCACGATATCTAGGACATTAACATTTCACCCAAAAGGCACCACTTCAGCCAGGAATATGGATTTACAATCTTCTCTATGTGCAAATCATTCCTAACCCAGCCCAGTCATGGTGGTATATCCTTTTCATGCACGGCCAAACACCAGTAAATGCAACAATACCTCCAACGCCACAATTCATCACTCTCTATGCCTCCAAATCACTTTTCTGACGCCAAAACCATCTTCTCTCTCTCTGGCCGCCTCTTCTGAAATTGCTTCTTGCTGTGCTTCCGCTCATTCTCCTGCCTGCGCTTGATAGCCTTGAGCTCCTCGCCCTTGATCTCCCCGGCCTTTTTGATGACCTTTGGAATATGTCTGTGACGCTTGATACGTCTGATCTCCGGCATATGTGCGTATCTTTCAGCTAAGGCTTCATTGTACTCCAGCGCTTGTCGTTGTTTTGCCGACTTCACTCCCTCTCTTTTTGAAGCATTAGCCCTCCAAAGTCGGATATTCCCATCGTCACTCCCAGAAAGGATGTATTTTGAATCAGGAGTAAACTTGACGCTGAATACTCTCTGCATACGCTTAGTGTGATATATGTCTCGACTGTGTCCTTTAGAACGGTTCCATAAGCGGACTGTTCGATCATAGCCAGCTGAAACCAATTCCTCTCCAGTAGGGGAAAATTCCACATCCATAACTGCCGCCTGTTCAAAAGATCTCGGCGTTAGCTTACTGCTTTTATATATTTCGAGAGCAAGGATGCCTGTCTTATAAGTAGATTTAAAGTACAGTTGGATCCATTGCTCCTAAGAAAACACAAAAAAGGGAATAACTCTCTGGGAAATTGACACTTACAACGTGGTCTTTCATGATATTAAGTGCTCTGTCCATTTTCCTCATATCGAAAATGTAGATATTGTGATCTTCATTTGCAACAGCAAAGTTAAACGCTTCCATTGGATTCCTACCAGGTGTTAGAAAGAGGTAAGAGCCCAAACTATAGGTACTACAAACCAAGAGATTGCATTGGAGGCGAAATTAAGGATAGTCCTTGCTAGGGGCATTGAAGTCCTCAAATCATAGAGGACTATACTCCTATCTGTTGCGCAAGATGCCAACACCGAAGTTTCTGTCTGATTGAATTGAACTGATGTGATGGTATCGGTCGACGTTGGCCAGCGAAGAACCTCGGGGGGAGCAGTAGGCCGTTCCAAATCATAAATCGAGATCACGCCGGATGCCGCGGCGAACGTAGCTTTGCTTCTGTGGTGGGACAGACTCGTGAAAGCATTTGTTCCGAGAAAGGTAGCAATTGGAGAGGATCCAGAGGGTGTATTGTATGGCTCCCATAGCTTGATCGACCGGTCCGCTCCACAAGTCAGGAGCTTTTGATCTCGAGTCCAACAAAGCCCCTTGACAATATTTTCATGGGCTGAAGTATTCCAGATTTCGTCTCTACTTGTCAAATCCCAGACCTTGACCACTCCATCACCACTACCCGAACTAAACCTCTCCAGAGAATTCGGATCTTTCGCCATTGTATAAACACCATCTACGTGCCCTTTTCCGAGGTCGGTGATAAAAGGAGCCGCAAACATTCGTTCCATCTTCGTCGCATTCAAGGCCCTAGTATATTCTCTTGCGCGCTCGAACGGGTGAAGAGCAGGGTCCAAGTTCCGAGGAGCTCGTTGAACATCAGACCCAGGCGCCTGAGCGACGGCACGAGCGAGAGCCTTGATCTTCATTGTGCCGTTATGAGGTCGTCGCCATAACCGTGTATTTTCACTCGAGCGAGGCTGCGAAAAATATAAGGCGGCCGACTTTTTAGCAGGGGGCTTAGCTTTGCGCTAACGATTTGGCTCAAGCGCGAGCCGCGTTGGAGCTTCCTGCCTTGCAGCCATTTTGAGCCACGGAAACAACTTCACAATCATTCTCCTTCATATCTAGGTACAGCAAGATGGCACCCGCAGACTCAGCAAGGATCGAGGCGGCGAAGAAGCTCACAAAGTCGAATCCAAGAGAGGCCGAAGCAAAATACAAGGAGATCATTTCGAAGCCACCATCAGCAACTTCAGATGCCGCTGTACGAGAGTACGAGACTGCGTTGGTTAGTTTGGGAGAACTTTATCGGGATCAAAAGTGAGAGCGCACATGTAGAAGACGTGTCGAATGGTTCTAATCTCGAACAGGAAGGCCAATGAGCTGGTAGACCTCATCACAACAAGTCGGACAGTCTTGTCTTCCTTCGCGAAGGCAAAGACTGCGAAGCTAGGTATGAATTAATCCGAAATGCTTGCGTATCACTTGATGAAATCTGAGCTGACCATCCGTCTCACAGTGCGACAACTCCTTGACCTCTTCCACGGCATTCCAAACTCCGCCGACATCCAAATCTCCGTCACGAAGTCATGCATCGAATGGGCTACCTCCGAACGACGAGGCTTCCTCCGTCAGAATCTCGAAACTCGACTCGTACAACTTTACATGACCAAAGCCTCATACTACGATGCCCTCACCCTCATCAACAGCCTGCTGAAGGAGCTGAAGCGTCTAGATGACAAGCTCGTGCTGGTGGAAGTCCAACTTCTGGAGTCGCGTGTCTACCACGCTTTAGGAAATGTAGCCAAAGGTCGTGCTGCTCTCACCAGCGCGCGGACGTCAGCTGCTTCAGTCTACACACCGCCACTTCTTCAAGCAGGTCTGGACATGCAATCAGGGAAGCTCCACGCTGAAGATAAGGATTTCAACACCGCGTTCTCCTACTTCATCGAAGCTCTTGATGGCTACCATTCCCAAGACGAGCCCGAAAAAGCTACTGCAGCACTCCAATACATGCTGCTGTGCAAAATCATGCTCAACCTCGCCGACGACGTCAACCAACTCATGACTTCGAAGCAAGCCGTCAAATACGCAGGAAAAAACCTCGAGGCTATGAAGGCCGTTGCCCGAGCTCACTCCAACCGCTCTCTTGAAGAATACGAGAAGGCCCTTGGTGATTACCGTCACGAACTCGGCAGCGATCCCTTCATCCGCAACCATCTCCGCCGCCTCTACGATGCCATGTTAGAGCAGAATCTGATCAAAGTCATCGAGCCCTTCTCCCGCGTTGAGATCGACCACATCGCAAAGATGGTAGGCCTCGATACTCAACAAGTGGAGCGGAAATTGAGTCAAATGATTCTTGACAAGGTCATTATTGGTGTCTTGGACCAAGGCGCGGGGTGTTTGATTATTTTCGATGAGACTGAGAGAGATGAGGGATATGATTCAGCATTAGCCACGATCGAGAAGTTAAGCAGTGTGGTGGATGTTTTGTATACCAACCAGGCGAGCATGCTTGAGTAGAGGGCCGGGAAGGAAGGATGGGATGAGAGCATGACATGCAAACATATGCATTGTACCATAGAGGCGTAGATGGTAGAAGGAATGAAAACATGCTTTCGATGACCACACAAACATTGGCGAAAACAAACTAGGAGTCATGCAAGTGTTCGAATTTCATGCACTACCCAATCAAACAAAGGGAATCCTCCAACTCCATGCTTTCCATAAGACATTCATCATATCAACAATTTGACACATACTCTACACAGCCATCAATCCATATTCTGGCCCTTCCTTGCCCCATACGCACACTTTCTACACAATTGCTGATTTCATCCTCACTTCACTTAAGTCAACAAATACTCAAACCCTTACTTCCTTCGCCTTCTCCCTCAGCGCCCTCTTCTCCTCCCCCACAACCAAACTAAAAACCCTCATCGCAACAACCTTCTCCTCCCACCCAGGCACATGTCCTCGAAACTCATCCACAACTTCCAAATGCCACTGCTCCAGTCTCAACTTCTCCCCTTGACTACTCACCGTCTTCCCCAGTAATTTAGAAATCACTCTTGTGCTATTTCTCCTTTTCCTTTCTAGTGGGGAAGAGTTCTGATTCTCGGGTTTCCATGACTGGAGGATTGAGTCGAGAAGTTTCCAGTGTTCTTTGGACCAGGTTGTTGAGGAGAGCAGGGCGTTAGGGGGCGAGGAGGGGATTGGTGAGGAGGAGACGAATGCTACTGCTTTGCTGGGACTGGGGTTTTCGTTTCCTACGTTCGCAGAGGGAGTTTTCATTGGTGAGCGGAGGCAGGACTTAGTTGGAGAGGTGGTTGGTGGTGGTATTGGTGTTTGGGTAACAGTTCGAGTTGTTTCCAGGCGCAGAGATTCTGTCCATTTCAGCGTCCGAGAGTTGGCGATTTGGTTCTCCTTGTCTGCATTGGCGATCAAGGACGAATCTTGATCGCTGTTCAGTGGCGAGACCTGAGCCGATGGAGTTCGATATGCAGGAAGGGTGTTGGTTCTGCTTGGAGAAGAAGCAGAAAGTGGTCTTGATGCCGATGAGCTTGACGGGTCAGGCGGAGTATCAAAACAGCCTTCCTTAGCATTGTCACCGAAAAGAGGTTGGCTGAAAGAAGGCGCGCGGGGTCGTGGATTAAATCCCTGTTTCTGTGGGATAGGAGTGAAGCCAGTTGGCTGTCTGGATTCAGGTCCCTTAGGCGGCACCATATTCTGCGAGGGAAGGTCGCTTGAAGATGGCCTGCTCGAGGTCGTTTCCTTTCGGATAGGGGGTTGCTGTGAAGCTCTTGAGAGGACTGGAAGGCGTTTGGGTGGGGAAGCAGAAAGTAAAGCGGATAGGTCGAAATTGCTCGTCTCGCGAGGACGAGGTTTGAAGTTCGCCTTC